TACAAAATGAAAAATATTAAATGAAAAAGGGCAACGAAATTTAGAGCTTTAACGCAACAAATTAATGCCAGGTTGATAAAATTCATTAAATGAGTGGAGATATAACCTGTATACGGAGGACATATTCTCTTCTCTGGAGGTGGTTTGTACTCCAATGGAGGTCGAGGCTCAAATAGCTTCAAAAGGTTAGATGTCAACCAGTGGGATGACTTTGCCCAATCTGTATTTAAAATAATATGCATATTATTAATTGAGAAAATTACTCAGCAAAAGCCAAAAGTACATTTGAAAACTGTAACATAATACTCTTTATCAATCATCAAAAAAGTCTATAAAGGTTTCTAGTATGTGCCTTTACTTCTATGCGTAATACACGACATAAAAGAATTCTTGACATTGATTACCAAGATATCAAACAAAAATAAATAAGAAACAATATTTAAGCATTATGTGATTATTTTGCTTATTCATGCACAACTATTTAGCTTAAAATGGATTGAAATTTTGCGCATCATCAATTCATTTTTCATTTTTCATTTTTCATTTTTCACAGCAAACTAAATGAAAATAATTCAATAAACTAAATGAAAAATGAAAAATGAATAGCATCACTTAGTCAACAATCAAATTTCAATCCCAATGCACAGCTTTATTCTCTGGTTAGCAGTTCAGAAGCGACTTTCAACAATGGACAGGAGGAAGATGACCCACCTTCGTCAATCAAGAATATGTCGTCTGTGCAACCTTGAGCCAGAGAGCCATGATCACCTATTTTTTAAGTGCCAGTTCTCATCCCCAATTTGGAGCTTTTTGCAGGGGAAATTTGGATTTTACATTTGCCCGGCGAATTGGAGTGACCTTGTGGCATGGGTCTCCTTTCACTGGCGTGAAAAAAAATTCCAGAACCAAGTCATCAAGCTAGCCTTCGCAGCAACTATTTACCATTTATGGCAAGAGGGCAACTGCAGAATCTTCAAGAACAAGAGCTCTTCGCAGAACTCAATTCTTCTTTCAATCTCAAGTTCGATCAGAGGAAAACTACAATCTTACTCTCTTAGAAACCGTATGGAAGCTCTCCTAGCCTTGAAGGACTGGGAATATAATCCTTCATCTTCTCGTCCGCCTCCAAGACCGCCGGACGGCGTCAATTGAGGGAGACGACATAGAGTTTTGACGAAAAAGAGGGAGAACAGGTGGGGTTTGCTATGGGATTTGTTCAGATCTTCTCGTTTTTGAGTTGACGTGTTAGATAAGTGATTTGAAATATCAAGCTCAGCATCGGGTTGAGTCATTTAGACTCTTGCCACTGCCATTTGTTCCGGCACAACCTGGACTTCTTTGTAATTATGCTTACATAAATATATTTGCTTAACATTCCAAAAAAAAAATATATTGAGGTATATATTTTGAACACAACTCATATTTATTGTTTTAGTAATATATATATGTGTGTGTCTGAGTATATATAAGAAAGTTGACTATGACTGTATTTTGGTCATCGTTTTGTTGTTTAGTTTGCTTCGTCACTTAGTAGCACCGTCTTTACTAGGGGTGTTCAAAAAATCTGATAAATTGAAAAATTAGACCGGACCAGACCGTACTGAGTCGAGCAGTTTGGTCTAGTTGTATAGCGGTTTGGTCTGGTCATGGGCCCAAAATTATGAAATCGTAATTCTTCGGTCTGATCTGGTTTAGAGTCGTGTCGGACCGGATCAGCCCTGACCGAACCGTTAATATGTTATATTATGTTATATAATATATATATTTATACATGTATATTATATTCTAAACCTAAATCAAGTAAGTTCTCACGTGCCCCTTTTCTTTCTTTTGTTCTTTAAATTCCTTAAATTTCTTTTTCAAAAAGTTAAATTTCCCTTTTGCAAATATATCTCAATTTTCTTTCCTTTCAAATATATCTTAATTTTTAATTTTCTTTCCTTTCAAATATATCTCAATTTTCTTTCCTTTATTTCTTATTAAAATTCATTTTTTTTTTTTTTTTTGGCGTGTTATATCAATGTTAGTTGATATATATATATATATATATATATATATATATATATATCTTTGCCCCATCTAAATTAAAATATAATAAAAGGGAAATCAACTGAAACCGACAAACCGAACCGAACCAATCCGGTTTTTCGCAATTTGGTTTGGTTTGGTTCCATGCACTTTATGGTTTGGTCTGGTTTCAAAAATGATAGAACCGTTATAAATGGTTTGGTCTCAAAATACTTCAAATTCGGTCCAAACCGGACCGTGCACACCCTTAGTCGTCACCACTACGCATGTGCTCTCTCAAATTCTCACTGCTCATTCAGTTTTACCTTTGCATTTTTGTAATTTTTCTTTTTTTATTTTCTTTTTATTAATTAAGGCTGTGCTGTGTGCCATTGTTGAAATTTTCATTTACTTCAGTGGAATATTTTTATTCAAAAAAAATTCATTGCATATGTGTGGTTTATGTTTTATTGTAGTTTTTTGTTGGATTTTCTGTTGGAAAATTTTGAAATTATTGTAAATGGTTTTGAGAGAGAAACAAAATGAGAAGTTTTAAAAAAGCAATTGGTTTTTATTGTTTTGTTTTCAATGTGAAACAAAATGAGATTGTAGAAATGAAATCACTGCAAAACTTTTAAATGTACTAATTTAAAATAAAATATGATTTATTTACATAAATAGAAAATTTCTATTATTGCCTTATGGTATAAGAACTATTAATCAAAGTTATGAGTGATATATATTATAACAATTATGATGCAATTATTTTGGGCATAAATTTCAAATAACTCATTTCTACTTTGTACTTGAAATTCGTTCATTTAGCAATCTTATAAATCAGAATGTGCAATTTTCTATTTTTATTTTTTAAAAAATTCAAACAAACGTACATATATCAAATTGAACATTCAAAGTCATCTTCTTTGGAGAGAGCTCATACAATTAGGGTTAATGGCCATTAATTTAACGAATAATGCCGAGGATCACCAAATGTCTTCTTTTTCTTTTTGATAAATTTATTTTTGAGACATATTTACATGTCAAATCACTAACTCAAAGCATCAAAGTTTTCAAGAATATTATTAAGAGAAACACAATAGACATTCGTATTAGAGTCAGAAATTTTCTTTACAACCGTTAACAGTAATATAATATGAAATTTTGTGCAAAAAATAATGGCAAACCTTGTAATGTAATTTACCCTAATACTTTTTATTTAAAATTAAAATAAAATTGATATAATAAGAATAAAGTTTGTATTTTAAAATCTTAAGTTATTGACATTAAAAAAAAAAGTAAATTGCTCCGCTGACACACAATATAAATTTATCTCAATGAATTTTATTTAAAGAGTTAATGGGTGATAAATTTGTATTCGAAATGTTTCAAGCAGGTAAACTTTTATCTCATAGGAGTTCATTTGTAAAAAAACCAAAAGATAATTCTTTCTAATTTTTTTTATTATTGTTTTATAATTGCTTGACTACTACAAAATTCTCATTTCATTCATTTACAGAACCATGGTTTCAATCTGAAACAATGGGAGTTGTATCTGATCTGTATATATATATTGAAAATATATAATCCAAAAAAAAAGTGCAACCTAAAAAAATATATATGGAAAACTAATATAAGAAAGAAAATCAAATTTTCTTTAGGTTTTGTTTGGTTAGATGGAAACAGCTAGAAAAGAAAGGAACCAAAAAATTTTTAATTTTTTTTAGAGTTTGGATAGATAGAAAGAGAAAACTAATGGAAAATTTAGTTTCCCTTATTGATTATTTTCCTTCAAAATTTTTCCTTCGAAAAACACGCGAAAATAAAGCATGAAAGAAACACTTATTTATTTGTTGTTCCTATTTTACCCAGTTCTTCAAAACAACTTATATTCTTAGATAAGTTTTTTTTGGTAAAATTGCTCAAAATAGATCCTGCTTCTAAATAGAATTTTTTATTTATTTTTAATCGTCTATTCTATGTTGCAATTCTAGCCACTTATAATCCGGATATATATATATATTATGATTTAATATTTGATTTTCCTCCCAAACAGTAATATTGCCTCTTCATCTCTGATTTTTTTAAAAAAAAATTTATCTTAAATTAATAATTAGTTTTATCTAAGGAAATATTATGAAACCTTATTCTAAATATAAATAATAAAAATGAATATAAACAATTATATATTTGAATTTAATAATCCATCATTTTACTTCATAAGGGTAGTTTTGGTATGCATAATCACTTTCTTTTCATTTTCATGCTATCCAAAGTAACAAATTAATATTTTTCTACGATTGTCTTAGATAAATTTTCATACCAACCAAATGCATACTAGAAAATCTATTTTTTTTTTCCTATTCACTTCACTTTTCTTTTACTTTCTATTTCTTTTCTTTTCTATCTTATTTCCATCTAACCAAACAGAACCTTAGTAATTGTTTCAAATTTTTAAAATTTTAATTTTTGATTTTTTTTTTTTTTTTTGAATACTTTGATTCGAATTTGGCAAATATATTATTAGCTTGATAAAATATTTAAAAAATTTTAATAAATAATTCTAACTAAACAAATCTCACAAGTTTTAATAAAATACAATTATTATGATTAAAATAGAGAAATAATTTAATAATTTATATAATGAGTAATTAATTATTATTTTTTTTTATAACTAAAAATATTAACATATATAATATCATTATTATTGTTGGCATTCTTGCCATTGTACTCTCACAATGCTTTAGTTTTTCTCTCTTTCCATACTTCGAGACTTGTTGATAGAAATTTATATATAATTCTAAATAATTTTCTTGTAAACACCATCTTTAGACTTCGTTTGGTTAGATGAAAATAGTAAGAAAAAAAGGAAATGGAAAATTTTCAAATATTTTAGGATGTCCTTTTTTTTTATATATATAAAATAATAATTTTATATACACACGGTGCACCAAACATAGTCACAAGATTCAAATCCCAAGAAAAAGTTTGATTGAATGGCTTCCACCGCTGCAGATGAAATCATCGGCGGCAACGAGGAACTGGCAGTGGAGATCCTTCAGTATCTGCCGGCGAAATCCCTCATTCGGTTCAAGTCAGTCTCTAAAGCATGGCTCTCTTTCATCTCCACTCCTCGCTTCTCTCTCCTCTGGCAATCCCATCATCATCCCAAAGTCTCCGGCCTTTTCTTCAACCCTTTGTTCCGAACTGAAACCATCAAATACGTTTCTCTCACTCACTCCGACGACTTGAGGAATCAATGTGATATTGCAACCGTTATTAATGGTGGAGGAGAAAACAATTCACCACCTCTCTTTCCTCATGATATCTATGCTAGAATCATAGACTCTCGTAATGGTTTTTTACTCGTCTCTTTTAATAAGACGCAGAGCTGTAGTATCGATTGGAGGCGGTCGTACCACGTTTATAATCCTACTACCAAGCAATTCTCTACTCTTCCATGGCCTTTTCCGGTCACTTTCACTTCTTCCATTGGTGACAATGTATATTTGATTTTCGATCCTTTAAAATCACTCCACTACAAAGTTGTTTTGGTTCAGGCTTCAGAGCATGGTAGTGCCTGCTTGATTCAAATACATATTTATTCGTCGGAAACCAATGACTGGCGGAGATCACCACTGGATGATGATATTGATGATTTTCATCCTTTCCCGAAATCATTAAATAAATCATTAAATAGTGTGAACTTGAATAAAGGAGTCTATTGGAATGGTTCCATCCATTGGTGTTCTTACGACAAAGAAAAAACTTCCTTGTACTTTGATGTCGATCAAGAAAGATTTCGCCCAATGCCATCTCCGCCATATAACGCTTATTTTGGGGAGTCCGGAGGTCATTTGCATAATATTATAAATTTTGATTGTAGGGGATCCTTCCATGTCAACGTCTCCGAGATGGAAAGTGATTACTCCAAGTGGACAACGAAGTATGTAGTTTGCCTTAACGCGAGGATGGTCGTTCCTCTTGCATTAGAGGATCAGATGAAGATGGTTGTCAGCAACAATACAACGCTTACTTTAATCCATGGTGAAGATGAAGAGGATGTGTTTTTGGTACTTATTGTACTCACCAAGATGAATTATATGATCATCTCCTACAACATTAAGGAGAACACCCTTAAGAAGCTTGGTGATGTACCACGGCATCACGTTACATCTTGGAATGATGGTGGTTCGTGGCGGCGTGATGGTTGTTCGTGGACGCCGTGCCCTCGTATCCATCGTTACATTGAGACACTTTTTCCTGTTTGATTAATCGTGGTGGTCCATTCTAATCCACTTAGAGTTAGGTGTTTTCTATTTCAGTGTTCTAATTGTAGCTTCAACTCTAATCTTAAAATCTAGTTACTTCACATTATATTTATTAATACTATTTTAGTTGTTTTATGTACATCAATTTTATTATATTAATATTATTTTGTTTTATGGTATTCATTGATCACTTAAGCTCTAACTATTTTTGAGTTATAGTTGCCCCTGTTCTGCTTAGAAAAATCATCTTATTACTAGAGTTATCAGGTACGTGTTATTTATTTATTATTTTTATTTTTATTTTAGCACTGCATTGTGAATTGACTAATCCTCTCTAAAGTACTGCTTTCTGCTGATTGGTGCTGAATGCTGATTGGTGTTCAATTTTAATTGATATTTGTTCTTACAATGTAAATAAAATTAACAAATGAACATTAAATACCTCATATAGGGCATGTTATTGAGCAAGTCTAGTAGACATTTCCAGCCACAGCAATTGTGAAAATGGAGATCCAGCCGAATCAGATTAGGGAACGAAAGCAGTTTCATATCATCAACATAGTCGAGAGCCTTAGTAACATATTAACATAATAGTCAAATGAGAGTGCTGCATATACTTAATCAAATTTAAAAAATAACAATTAATTCCAACAAATATAGAAGAATAAGAGATTCTACATTAATAGTATGATCAAGAAAAGAAGTACCCCCATGATACGAGTGCCCTAGAGATAGATATTTGACACTACAAATTCCTCTGAGAAGCACAACTACTTTATCAGCATGTCAATCAACGATGTTACGTTCTTTAGCACATAGGAAGGCATCCAAACATTTTGAACAGAAAGATACTCAAGAATCGGTGCATCTACTAAAACTTTGTATTCTTCTCCGGCTAAAAGAAACTTAAAATTTTTTAGGGCCGGTACGGAGACATCAAATACAAGTTCTTCATCACTCTCAACATTTCCTAGGATGAACAGGTCCTCAAGAACAGGGCAATTACTAAAGAGATTTTGTGCCAAGTCATTGTTGGGACGATCAATTGAAACATGGAGGACCTTAAGACTTTTAAAATGGACCGAGCGAGGAACAGCACTGAAACTTAGTCCAACTCCCAATTTTAAGACTGCCAATGTTGGGCAAGTGAAAAAGCTTGAAGGTAAATGAAAATTTTCTTTAGGTGGTTTAATCCTAATATCAAGTTCTTGAACACCACGCTTTATGGCTAAACTTATCCATGTATATATTTTTGATATATCAATGTCAAAGTAACATTGATGCGGTCCGGATCTTCTAGAGCATAAACAGACCTACTGAATGTTGGACAATTCATGATTAAGAAATACTTGATCAACAAAGTTCATGAAGTTGGAAGAACTCACATCTGATTCATCCTATACATATCGCAGGTCGAATTTTAATTTTTGATTTTTGATTTTTTTTGAATACTTCGATTCTAATTTGGCAAATATAAATATCATTATTAGCTTGATGAAAGATTTAAAACTTTAATAAGTAATTCTAACTAAACAAATCTCACAAGTTTTAATAAAACACACATTATTGTTGTTGCATTCTTGTTGCTCTTACAATCAGTGACGGAGCCAGGATTTCAAGTGAGGTATACACACACACAATCTTCAGGAAGGAAATAGAAGTACTACATGGTAAAGAGAGAATACTACGAGTGACCTTATTCTTATATTATTTTAAAGAATAAAGGAAAATAGAGTGTAATGTATAAAAGTAAAGTTCAAAACCTCCCTTTTTATTATATATATATATAAATATAAATATAAGACAATTGTGTGTTTTTAATTATGGCCACATCATACTCAAGATAAATATGTCAAATATTATTTCAGATGTATAGCACTACTTTAATTTTAATTGTGTTTGTGTCATAATGTCAATTCATTTAATTAATTACATGTTTAACTTGATTATACCCTTTAGACAATCTAATTAACCAGTTTTAATTTAATTACTATAGACATTTTTATTATTTCAATAAAAAAATTAATATGAATATTTTATTTGGTGTTTTTTTGTAATTGAATTGTCTTAATAATTTCAATTAAAATATATATTTGTTGAGAAACCATTTACCATTATTATGGGCCTCCCTTATTCAATATATACTTAGATATTTGAAGCCAGTCAGAATTTTAAAATAACACAAAAGTAAAAAAAATAGTAATAAAAAAGTTTACTTTGTTTGACAATAATTTACTTTAAAGTTTTGGTAAATTACTCTCGAATACGTATAGGGTTGGGACCACTCATCCGCAATGCTTATTTATTGTTTCCTTTCTTGCTGGGCAATTAATTCCTCTCCTCTTTTCGTTTAGGTCTTGGAAATAATATATATGGAAAACTAATATAAGAAAGAAAATCAAATTTTTTCTAGCAATTGTTTCAAATTTTCAAAATTTTAATTTTTGATTTTTGATTTTTGATTTTTTTTTTTTTTTTTAATACTTTGATTCTAATTTGGCAAATATATATCATTATTAGCTTGATGAAAGATTTAAAACTTTAATAAATAATTCTAACTATACAAATCTCACAAGTTTTAATAAAACACAATTATTATGATTAAAATAGAGAAGTACTTTAATAATTTATATAATGAGTAGTTATAGATTTTTTTATTTATAACTAAAAATATTAACATATATAATATCATTATTGTTGTTGGCATTCTTGCCATTGAGCTCTCACAATACTTTAGTTTTTATTTCTTACCATATTCCCGAGACTTGTTGATAAAAATTTATATATAATTCTAAATAATTTTCTTGTAGACACCATCTTTAGACTTTATTTGGTTAGATGAAAATAGTAAGAAAAGAAAGGAAATAGGAATTTTTTAAGAAAATTTTTGAGAAAAATCACTTTCCATAACAATTTAATTTTTCCATAAATTTTTTTCCAAAACTCACAAGAAAATTTTGATTTATTGAGAAAGTTTTGTGAACTTACAATATTAATGCCCTTTCTTTTATGGAAAACTACATGTTATTCAACCATAAATTAATAATTTTACAATATTTTTGGGAGGCAAATTAAAATTTATTATAAATTTTGGGATCATAAATTAAATTTATTTACAATATAAATATTTTGGAGGCTACTAAAAAAAATTTTGAAAATATTTGGGGGGTCCATGGCCACCCCTAGCCCCGCCCTCTGTTGAGAAGGAATGATTTGGAGTTTTGGAGTACCCTATCGAGATGTAGTACAATTTTATTGTGTTTAGTACTAGTTTTTATTATTTAGGTTTCTTGTTTATTTATATATAATTTTTATACCAAGTTTAATACTGTATTAGGTAGTTTTTTTTTTTTGTCTTTATTTTTTTTTTAGTTTCCTTATGTTATAAATTTTCTTTTAACTTCTTAGGTTTCATAATGACTAAATTTTTTTTTATATTATAAATACGGCGTGTGTTACACCAAACATAGTCACAAGATTCAAATCCCAAAAATTTCAAAAAAAAACAAAAAAAAGATTCAAATCCCAAGAGAGGGACGAAAAAGTTTGATTGAATGGCTGCTTCCACTGCTGCTGAAATAATCGGTGGCAACAAGAAGCTGACGGTGGAGATCCTTCAGCGTCTGCCAGCGAAATCCCTCATTCGGTTCAAGTCAGTCTCGAAAGCATGGCTCTCTTTCATCTCCACTCCTCGCTTCTCTCTCCTCTGGCAATCCCATCATCATCCCAAAGTCTCCGGCCTTTTCTTCAACCCTAGATCCCGACCTGAAACCATCAAATACGTTCCTCTCACTCACTCCGACGACTTAAGGAATCAATGTGATATTGCAACCATTATTAATGGTGGAGAAGAAAACAATTCACCTGCTGCTAGAATCATAGACTCTCGTAATGGTTTTCTACTTGTCTATTTTTCTAAGCTGCAGAGCTGTAGTTCTGGTTCTGGTTGGAGGGAGTCGTACTCGTACCACGTTTATAATCCTACTACCAAGCAATTCTCTACTCTTCCGTAGCCTTTTCCGGTCACTTTCACTTCTTTCCTTGGTGACAATGTATATTTGGTTTTCGATCCTTTAAAATCACTTCACTACAAAGTTGTTTTGGTAATTAAGGCTTTAAAGCCTGGTAGTGCCTGCCCGATTCAAATACATATTTATTCGTCGGAAACCAATGACTGGCGGAGATCACCACTAAATGGTGATTTTCATAGTGTGAACTTGAGTGAAGGAGTCTATTGCAATGGTTCCATCCATTGGCTTTCTTTCCGCGAAGAAAAAACTTCCTTATACTTGGATGTTGATCAAGAAAGATTTTGCCCAATGCCATCTCCACCGTATAACTACACTACAGGTTTTAAATGCCGGCATTTTGGGGAGTCCGGAGGTCATTTGCATTATATTAGATATTATGATAATATGGGATTCAATGTCAACGTCTTGGAGATGGAAAGTGATTACTCCAAGTGGACACCCAAGTATTCGACGACGATGGTTGTTGATCTTTCATTAGAGGTTGTCTGCATGGATACAGCGCTTAGTTTTATCCATGTTGAAGATGAAGGGGATGTGTTTTTGTTACTTCTTGTACGTACCGAGATGAATTATATGATCATCTCCTACAACATTAAGGAGAACACATTTAAGAAGCGTGTTAATGTACCACGCCATCCTATTGCATCTTGGTATGATCTTTGGTCTGATTGTTTTCGGTGGCGTAAACACTCTTGTATCCATAGTTACATTGAGACACTCTTTCCTGTTTGATTGATCGTGGTGGTACATCCTAATCCCTTAGGGTTGGGTGGTTTCTATTTCAGTGTTCTAATTCTAGCTTCAACTCCAATCTTAAAATCTATTTACTTTATTATTTTAGTTGTTTTATGTCCATCAATTTTATTATATTAATATTATTTTGTTTTATGGTATTCATTGATCACTTGGGCTGTAACTATTTTCAGAGTTTTAGTTGTCCTTTTTCTACTTAGAAAAATTCTCTTATTCTTTGGGTTCACAGATGTTTACTTGGTTGTGTTGCTATTATACTACTTTACTAATTTTCTTTCAAAAACAGATACAGCAAATGATAAGAGTTCGTTACCCCCACATCTCCAATTCAAAAGAGCCCTTTAATTTTAATTACGAAAGTTATCAAGAAGAACAGTTAGGGGTGATAAATTTGTATTCGTGTCACGTTGAAATAAAAGTATTTTATTATATGAGTTAATTCAAATATGATTCATTTATAAAATAATTAATCTGACATGATCCATTTAACAATTTATTTAATATTTTTTATTAATACCAAAATGCAAATATAAAAATAAGAAATTGGTTATTCTCATGAAATTGGTCACGCCTATCATATTCAAAGGCCTTAACATGTTAGAGCGAGTTTTTGAACTATTCACATTCTAGGGTACTTTATTCAAAAAATTATATACAATAGTATATACAATTTTCTCCAACTTCATTATTTCTACGTATAATCACAGTGCATAAACATATTGTCCCACTCCACGAACAGAATGATTTTGTGACGTGTCTTTATAAGGGATTGATGAATAATAATTTAATACCACACCACCCATTCTTTTTTTTCTTTTTTTTTGGGAACTTTAAGCGTCAAACTTCTATTTTCAAGAGTCAACTACAACACAACTCCATGGTGACTGTGTCATGACTCATAACTCCATTTGAAATGAACAATTGCTATCTTAGGAAGAGGAAGAGGAAGAGGAAGAGTTTGAAGCAGCCGGAAGACCAATCATCCAAAATCACATCCATAAATTTAGAAGGATTAGCGGAAGCAAAAGGCCAAGTACGAAGTGTTTCAAGCAGGTAAACTTTTATCTCATAGGAGTTCATTTGTTAAATACAAAAGATAATTCTTTTTTTTTTATTTTTATAATTGCTTGACTACTACAAAAATTCTCATTTCAGCATTACAGAACCATGGCTTCAATCTCAGACAATGGGAGTTGTATCTGATCTGTATCATAGTAGGTGTGTAAATATACATATATATTGAAAATATATAATCCAAAAAAAAAGTGCAACCTAAAAAAATATATATGGAATACTAATATAAGAAAGAAAATCAAATTTTCTTTAGTAATTGTCTCAAATTTTCAAAATTTTAATTTTGATTTTTTTTTTTTTGAATACTTTGATTTTAATTTGGCAAATATATATCATTATTAGCTTGATGAAAGATTTAAAAACTTTAATAAATAATTCTAACTAAACAAATCTCACAAGTTTTAATAAAACACAATTATTATGATAAAAATAGAGAAGTATTTTAATAATTTATATAATGAGTAGTTAAAGATTTTTTTTATTTTTATTTATAACTAAAAATATTAACATATATAATAGGATTAAGTGCAAAAAAAACCTTTAAACTATTACCCTTTTGCAAATAACTCCTCTGAACTAAAAACCGCTCCCTAACTATTGATTTGTTGCAATTAAGAACAAATTTATCACAAAAGACTATTTTACCCTTTCTCATTAAAATTTTCCAGCTATTAAATTATTTATATTATCTTTTCTCTTATATAAATATTAATTATACTATTTACCTTAATTTTATTTTTAGTATCAAATTATTGTAAAAATGAAAAAAATAATAATAATAAATGGATTTGTAATTACCATATTCTAAATTGATTAACTTATTATTAAAATTTTATTATTTATAATAAAACATATCATAACCAATTTAAATATTTTTATCGTAAAAAATATATCATCCTTTTCATACAATATATTGATGAAAATTTAATAAAATACTTTTAAAAAAAATACCTTCTTTTCATGTAATATAATCATTAAAAATTAAAAAATTAATTGATTTTTTTAAAAAATTTATACTAAATTTTTTTATTTAAATAATTAATTTAAAAAATTAAAGGTAAATTTGTACAAATTTAATGAAAAATATCTCTTCAAATTAGTATGATTTTTGTCATAATTTATTTAAATAAGAAAAATATATTAAATGTAATTCAATAGGAAGGAGTATTATGGTCATTTAATAAAATATAATATAGTCTTTGGGGTATGTTGCAACAAAATAAGATAGTTTAGGGAATTTAATGCACAAAATATAGTTCAAGCAGGTTATTTGCAAATTCAAACATAGTTCAAGGGGTTTTTTTTTACACTTTACCCTATATAATATCATTATTGTTGTTGGCATTCTTGCTATTGTGCTCTCACAATACTTTAATTTTTCTTTCTTCTCATACTCCCGAGACTTGTTGATAGACATTTATATATAATTCTAAATAATTTTCTTGTAAACACCATCTTTAGACTTCATTTGGTTGGATGAAAATAGTAAGAAAAGAAAGTAAATGAAATTTTTTAAAACATTTTAGGAGTTTTGTTAGCAAGAAAAGTAAAATTTTTGAGGAAAATCACTTTCCATAACTATTTAATTTTCCCATAAATTTTTTTTCCAAAAATCACATGAAAATTTTGATTTATTGAGAAAGTTTTGTGAACTTACAATATTAATGCCCTTTCTTTTATGGAAAATTACATGCTATTTAACCAGAAAATAATAATTTTACAATATTGGAGGGGGGATTAGAATTTATTATAAATTTTGGGATTATAAATTAAATTTATTTACAATATAAATATTTTGAAGGGTACTAAAAAAAATTGAAATTTTTTGGAGGGGCAATGGCCACCCATGGCCCCCTACCAACTCCGCCCTGCCTATTGAGATGTAGTTCAATTTTATTGTATTTAGTACTATATTTTATTAGTTAGGTTTCTTGTTTATTTATATATAATTTTTAGGGTTAATTACAAAAAAAATTCCTAACTATTAGGAAATATGCAACAAATCCCTTTAAATTATAAAAATTGCAAAAAATCCACTGAATTATACATTTTTATTACAGATTAGTCCATCCGGCGATGCTCCAGTTAATATAACCGGAAAAAGTAGCAAGTGCGATCACGTGACCAATATTTAAAACTAAAATTCCATAATACCCTTGTAAGCATTAAAGTACAATAATACCCTTTTATTACTATTATTATTATTATTATTATTATTATTATTTTTTGTATAAGTTAAACCAAAACACCTTATCACCCAAACACCACCTAAGACATAACCTCTGCATTATCAGTCACGAAAACCCAACTAGATCCAGTGACAGCTTCATCAAGTTGTATGCTTCTTCCTCAATATCCTTTTCAATATAGAGGACAACCTAATTGTCTGCTTCATCAAACTCCAATTCCTCCTCAATCATGACTGAATCGAGCGTGAAAAGGTAACCGATGGCGGCACCGGAGGAGGAGCGTCGAGGTTCAAAAACAGAATATATATGTGTGTTTGTGTTTGTGTGTGTATATATGTATATTGTTGTTTTGATTTTTACAGAAAAGTTAGGCCAAATAGGAGCAAGAAAGTTGAAGAGATGGGTTAAATCACTCACTCCCTTTATATATATATCGTTCTATATGTATAGACCTTTCTTCCTCAAAAATTCATAATTCTCACTCTCTCTAACTGTAATATATATATATATATATATATATATATATCACTCTATATATCAGATTGAATTCCCCGTATGAACTACCTGGTATTGCAATTCTTTCCAACACTGAATGTCCAAAGAACCTCCAAAACCCTCTGGTCTCATTGATCCCAATCTCCATAACCGAAACCCTAATCTTAGATTTCTCAACCCACCCAATTATTCTCACGCTGATACTGCTCTCAAATTAAGTAATTTCCATATATGTCCAAAATCACCAAACTCCAAATCGATTAAAGACAAAAAAAATAAATAAATAAAAATAAAATAAATCAGTCACTCATCTCTATTACTCATATATATATATATATATATACATATATATTAGAGAGAACAAACGACACTAATGATCTCCGTCGGACCGTCACCTTCCTAACCCTTTCGGCGACCTCGACTTCGGTAGCTTTTCCATTGATGCCATGATCGTCCTCTCCAAAGCCATTGTTTGCATCAAATTTGCCAAAGGAGAGTTGTTTGGTTGATGCCAAAAATGATAACTGTCTGTGGAAAAGTGATTAGGTTGGTTGTGTTGTGAAATAATCATTGGTTGTTGAGATTACAATTGCCACCTCATTTGATTCAGTTTGCAGGTTGTCTCCCACTTTGTCATTTTATGTAAGGGTAATCTTGTTTTCCTATCAACTCATGTACCGGAGTGTCCTTGATCGCAATAAATTTATAGTTTATAGAAATTTTTTATAATTCAAGAGTGCTAATTGTAATATATTATTAATTTAGGGAGATTTTTTTTGCATTTAACTCTAATTTTTAAAGCAAGTTTTATATTAACTTTCTTTTTTTTTTTTCTTTTTTTTTTTTTTAATTTCCTTATGTTATAAATTTTCTTTTAACTTCTTAGGTTTTCTAATGACTAATTTTTTATTTATTATAAACACGTGGTCGCCAAGCATAGCATTAAACTACTTTACTCTTGGGATCTTACTGAAATTAAATAAGATTAACAAAAACAAAAAAAATTTCTTTCAAAAACAGATAGCAAAAGATAAAAATTCGTTACCCTCCACATCTCCAATTCAAAAGAGCCCTTTAATTTTAATTACGGCTAAAAAAAAAAAAAAATGAAAAAGAAAAAGAAACCACACAGAAAAGTTATCAAGAAGAACAGTTCTATTGATGCCAACTGGTTATACAACAACTTACATACCACGTAAAAAATATCGTAAAATATTTATGAAGAAAAAAAATATTAAAATTTAACAAAAATAATTTATTCATAAATTTTCGACAAATTATTTTTCATGTTCCGCCCGATGGACTCGACCTAAATCTCGATGTTGACCTTTGTCAAACATCGTCAAAGTAAAAATATTATTAAGATTAGAGACCAACGTCTTGGGGCTAACGTGAGATCCGCTCAAGGACTTACTGGTTTAGGTAAATATCTAATGCGTTCCCCGACTGGAGAAGTCATTTTTGGAGGAGAAACCATGCGTTTTTGGGATCTGCGTGCCCCCTGGTTAGAACCTTTAAGGGGTCCAAACAGGTTGGACTTAAGTAGGCTGAAATCAAAAATAATTAGTCTTGGACAGTTTATTTGCGAAAATATATGTATAGCCAAAAACGGACCACACCTAAAATCGGGTCAAGTTCTAATTGTTCAAATTGACTCATTAGTAATACGATCAGCTAAGCCTTATTTGGCTACCCTAGGAGCAATTGTTCATGGCCATTATGGTGAAACCCTTTACGAAGGAGATACACTAGTTACATTTATATATGAAAAATCGAGATCTCGAGTCTATTCCATCTTAGCGTCCGCCCGCCTCAACGTCTGAGTCATTTTGAATTATTCACTTAATTTTTGATGAACTTCTTTTCGCTTTAAGGGGATTTTATTTTTTTTATCTAACCAATTTGATGAATTACTCCTAAAGGTTTACGTCAAAATAGTGCTAGTTGATGAAAGTTATTTCGAAAACAAAAAGAGTAAAGTCAAATTCATTTGGGTTATTCTCTCAATTCCAATTAAATACAACCGGATCTAGGAATTTATCGAACGAACCGCACTCCTTCGTATACGTCAGGAGTCCATTGATGAGAAGGAGCTAGAGAAAGCTTGAACCCAATTCATACAGTGATGAATATAAGCGCAATTGAAATTCCTAGGTTCCATGCAATTTCGAATACTTGAACGGTCGATTCTTTTTTTTCGTCTTAACTTCTGCCGGGCTCGACGTTGACCTTGTTGGGAGAGATGACAATAAACAAACACAGCAGAATAAATCTTCTCCCTATATGCAAGCAAATATAGTATACCTCTACTTTTATATGTGCTGAAAATAATAGAGAATAAATCAATCACACCAAGCCACAAGAACACAAGCAAATTTTTACGTGGAAAACTTCCCCAGTGTGAGGAAGAAAAACCACTGGACCTAATCCAATTAAAATCTCCAC